CCATGCGTAGTACATATTTCACTTTTAACGGTAAGCTTTATGAATAGACACAAGGACTTGAAATGGGCCGTTGCTTAGCTCCAATTTTGGCGATGACCACATGACAAAATTTGAGCAGCGCTTAATGCAAAAGGTAATTTTGACTCGTAAATTGTTTGTTAGACATATGGATGATTATTTTGTGATTTGGCAGTATAATAAGGACAGTTTAGATAGTTACATATTTTCACTTGACCAGCGTAAAAGAAAAATCAAATTCATAATGGAATGAGAAAAAAATAGGAAATTACCCTTATTGGAAAATATAGTTATTAGGGAAGTCGGTAAGTTGGGCAGATATGCTTATATGAAACCAGGATATGCTAGGTACGAAGAGAAACTGGGTTTCGATGAATCTCTTGAGATAACAATGTTAGGGGGACTTTCATTTCGTATGAAAGTGAATGAAGAAGAGATTCGTTGGTCGATCTAACCAGAAGAGGACGGATAAATCTCGTTGTACTGCAGCCGTTTAGCTTTTATACGATATTCATTTTGACGCAATCCACAAGACTTCCTCCATCCTTTCGGGTAAAAACGTGCTGAGCTTTCGTCCATCATTCAATGGACATCATCAGAGCTGGGTGTCATTCTTGTAAAAGTCTCATGTTAAAACTAAAGTTAAATAGTGTTCTTGGCCTAGTTTTAACGTAAGACTTTTACAACGAGATTCGTCCGTCCTCATCTGGTGAGATGGACCAACGAATCTTCTCTTCATTCACTTTCATACGAAATGAATGTCCCCCTAAAAAGGTTATGCTAGTTTTGTTCTTGATTTTCTTTCCAATTATAGTTACAAAACTGAGGTTGAAATTTTAAAATATAGGGTTATTAGGAGTATGAAGCTTGCGGGTGTAAATGATCCGAGCGAAGAATTAAGAAAACTGAAAGAATAATTCCTGGAGAATAATTATCCCTTAGACTTAATTGTCAAAAATATATCTTTAATAAAGAACACATTTACAGACGGAGACGATATGACAGAGTGAGTTAAACCAGAGCTTCTCTTATGTTTTAATCTTGCCGTCATGTTTTCCTTCTAAGAAGATGAGAGAACTTATGAGTAAGGGGGGGGGGGGGAAAACAGTTTTCAAGGAAGTTCTGACACTTTCTTAGGTTATATCTTCTTTTAGAGAGAACTATGACCCACTATCAAGATCCGGCTGCTACAAGATTGCTTGCTCCTGTGGTTGACCTTGTATTGGTGAGACCCGTCGGCCGATCCACCAAAGATTAGCAGAGCACAAGACTGCTTCTAAAAGCAGCTTGGTCGAACGGTCAGAGATGGTGTAACACATGACGGAGACCGGACGTGAGATAGAATGTTCTCGTACTCAGAGGTTTACTGATTATGGTAGATCTGCTACGAAACATAAGATAAGAGAGGCTATTGAAATTAATAGATTAGAGAATACGTTGAACGTGAGGAATGTTGGTAGAAAGTTGAGCGAAAACTACTTATGCTTGGTTGAGCCGCCGTCCAAAAGAAGACGACTCAACTTGTCAGCTGAGTGATGGTTCTAACCAAATTAACACTTGTTCAACAGACATATCGAGATCATCGGCCAAAACAGACGTGCGGGGTAAAGCAATCCCAACCAAGCTTCTTCTTTGGTCAGTAAACCTTAATAGGCCAGACCGACGGGTTCAGACTGGTGCTTTCGTAACCTGATCTTCACGTATACAAATCTACATCTCATTAATGTAACCAGGGTCAACGCAATCTCAGTTTTCCAGTTTTCTCGGGGCATTTAAGTCTTGACGACCCGGAGCTGACGCCATACTTTTTTCTAATTACTCTGACCTATATTAACCCTATTTGATTTAAGGTGATGAAGGACTGGTAGTTGATTAATCCCACAATGATATGAGCAAGGCTGACGTCTCTATTGAATTTCACACAGTCTTGCTTTTCATGTAACTGATTTACTGGTAGTCTCCAAATCCTACTTATGAACGAAAAAATGTCCTCTTAGTCAACAGACTCTGCGTACAGACGTTAACGCACATACACACGCGAACATATGTGAATTGACTAAACCTTTCATTATTTACATATATATATATATATATATATATATATATACATTTTTATCGCAAACAGTATATGTATTATATATAAAAAAGCCTGTCAGTCTTCTTGACTTAGTGTTAACTTGAGGCTTTTGCAAGAGTTAATCTCAGCTCTGACGATGTTCGTCACGTGGCGTGACGAACGAAGACTCAGCCCGTCTTTGCCCGAAACGTCTCGTGGACAGCGTCAACCTGGACGTGGTACCAAAGCCAAATGGCAATAGTACAACGCCGATCAGCCGACGTTTTCTGGCGAGAATGACCTGTAAATCGCTTCATCATGCATTTTCACACGAAGTAAAAGTCTTCACAACCCTATTAAATGAGATTTATTTCCCTATTTCGTGTAAGGTGATGAAGGACTGGTAGTAGAATTTTCCCACAATGATATGAGTTGAGCTGATCCCCTATTTCGTGTAAGGTGATGAAGGACTGGTAGTAGAATTTTCCCACAATGATATGAGTTTAGCTGACGCTATTTCGTGTAAGGTGATGAAGGACTGGTAGTAGAATTTTCCCACAATGATATGAGTTGAGCTGACGTTACCATTGAATTATTTCGTGTAAGGTGATGAAGGACTGGTAGTAGAATTTTCCCACAATGATATGAGTTTAGCTGACTTTTACAATTTCGTGTAAGGTGATGAAGGACTGGTAGTAGAATTTTCCCACAATGATATGAGTTGAGCTGACGTTTCTTTCGTGTAAGGTGATGAAGGACTGGTAGTAGAATTTTCCCACAATGATATGAGTTTAGCTGACTTTTTTCGTGTAAGGTGATGAAGGACTGGTAGTAGAATTTTCCCACAATGATATGAGTTGAGCTGACGTTTTCCGTGATGAAGGACTGGCAGTAGAATTTTCCCACAATAATATGAGTTTAGCTGACTTTTCCATTGAATTTCACATAGCCTTGCTTTCCCAAAAGTTATTCTCATCCTGATGAGTTGAGCTGACGTTTCCATTCAATTTCACATAGCCTTGCTTTCCCAAAAGTTGTTCTCATCCAGGGTGGACTGCA